TGTAATTCTTGTTTCATTAAGTTTCCTACAGTAGTGTAGAAATATAATTAATCATTTCATAAATATAAATGAATATATATCTTTTTTTTTTTTTAACTACTTGAATGAGTAAGTAATTATAATTTATTGCATTTGAAAATTTATTTTAATTTGCAAAAAATCTGTTCCCTTTCTCTTATCGTATTCATATTCATTATTTTCAATTTATACATTAAACATGTTTTAATTAAATAATAACACTCAATGAAATAAACTCCAACACATTTATTAATATTCCAAAATCCAAATTGATTATAACTTTATTTAAATTCATGCATCATATTGGACAATCTGATTAATAAAGTGAATAGATTGAAAAAAAAAATTATTTAAAGAATATTACCTTCTAAATAAAATATTGGATGTTAAAATTTTTAATTTTTTAAACTTTTAAATTGAAAATTCATTTTCTGTTGAATTTTTATTCAATACAATAGGCACTTAACAAAAAGCTTAGAAACATTAAAAATGACTTTTGAATTACTTATGTAATCTGATGATTATTTATTAAACGAGTCAGTTCTCTGATTCTAATGAATAACAATGCAGACTTATATATTGCGGAAGTAACTTAGAAATTTATGTGCTGTATTAGCTAAATACTTGATTCAGATTTAGTTTGCTTACTAAATTTATTTCATAATGTTATTTAAAATTTGATATAATGTATGTAGATCTATAAGTACTGCAAGAAATATGTATTCATGAAAAATCGACTTTATACCAGTTTTATGTTTATATCGCATAAAAAACTATTTTAAAAACATTCATTGACCAAAATTATAAAATTAATGAATATTTGAATTTTCAAATTTTAGTTAATTTCATTAGGATTCTGGTCAATTATATGTTTTAGCATAGTTTCGTATATTGGGAATATGATTTTTTAATTGAAATATTAGGAACAATTTTTATAGATAATAATCATAAGAATTATAATATTAAATTTCTAAAAAGAAAATTCATATCTTTCTATTACAAAATATTACTTATAGGATTAAAAATGTCATTGATAGACATGATATACAACAGATGATAAATGCACTACAAAGCAAAATTTCATCCGAGTTTTTAAAAAAACAAACTAATTTTTGTTATATCATTAAAAATTATTTTTCATCGTAAAAATTGGAAGACAATAACTTAAGAACTGAAAATTAAAAATTCACGTGAGTATAGTGTGCGTGAATATAGTGATTATTAATTTTTCATATTATAATTGTAATATAACGGTATTTCTTTTCCTTAGTAGATATAATATATGTTTATATATAAGTACAACTTACTATAAAATCAAAATAAATCAAATGAATTATATGCATAAAGTACAAGAATTATTTTATGATTTTTACAAAAATTAATTCATCATTAAAGCTTACTTATATGTAATATATATAATATTTAAATTTAGTAAATATACAATCATAGTGTGTCTACAAGCTTTTTCATTATATGTTGATTCAGCTTACTTTTCCACTTTCAACAAAGTTTGACCAAAAAATATTTACTATTATTTGAATAAATTGTTTTGTATTTAATGAATACTTAAATAACATATTTAATTAACATCTACAATTTAATTAGTAATATTTAATTTCTTACGTAGAGAAAAAATCTAAAATTTTATTTATAAATAATTGCTAAAAAATCAAAATATCTATTGAATAAAGCATGTTACTAAAAAATTAATAGTACATAACAAACATTATTAAATTATTTAATGCTATTTTCATAATTACTGCTTCACTTAAAATGATACTGCACATCAATAAAACAGTCCGACCTACAAACATCAATGAGATAAGTAGATAAACGAATCGAATGGGGCGTTACTATGTTAGAAGTATTATAAGTCTTATATTAGAAATTTTTTCAATTTGTATACAATATGTATTAAAAATTTTATTCTTGAAAAATTGTTGTTATTCTTTTTTTTATATTCGATTATAGTTTATATATATATATATATATATATATATATATATATATATATATATATTCAATTTTTATAAACTTAATTAAAATTAAATTCAATTTCATTTTTATTATTCGGGAATTTTACATATATATTATAATGTTTGTTGCATATAAACAATTTTTTTTTTCATTGGTATTGTTATCATAATTGAATTTCTTAATGAAACGTTAATTGAAAGTATTTAGTTTTTAATTTCTCTTTTTATTAGTATATTAGTTTTAAATTGTCTCTATTTATTGTTTATTTAAGAACAAAAATGATTTATAAATGTAGTATTTTATAATTAAGAGAATTTATTTAGTGTTGACTGTAATTATTAGAATAATGTATGGGCTTATAAAAAAGAGATTCTTATCATTTAATTTAGATCATAATTCATTTAAAGAAGTACTTAAATTAGAGAAAATTCGCCGATATATAGTGAAAAAATAATATATATATATTTAAATTTTATCGTTGAAGATTTTTATATCATAAACAAGAATAATTAATATATTTATATTGATTGAAATTATTTGAAATTATCAGTCAAAGAATGTACAGGATAATAAATATTTTTAGTCTATGAAGTATATATTTTAGTTTATCGCATATTACAAAATAATTCATATGTCTGATATTATAAAAATAAAGTAAACAAATTTTGATTGTTAATAATATGATTCGCTATTTATTATTATGTATATAATCAAGCTAATCAAAGTAGTGAATAGTTTACTTTGGTCATATTAATTAAATGTAATTTTAATTGTAATAAATATCTATTTGTTGTTCTTAAAATAAATATTGGTTTAATAAATGTATTTTAGAGTTTTTTTTTTTTTAAAAAAATATAATAATATAAGTGATGTACTTTAAATATTCGATGATTGCCAAAGATTTAATAATATTGTAAAACTCGTCATTAATTTACTTCATTATGCGATTAATTCTTCATTCTAAAATTATCCATGCGCATAAATTAATATTAAACCTATAATATACAAAAATGCCAAGCAGTTATGCTTTTTATCATTTCATGTAGGAGCCTCCTTAACACCATATGTTTGCCTGATTACGTGTTGAATTATCGTGCGTAAGAGCATTTATGACGTTCGGAACCTGTAACTCGAAACTCAAGATAACGGTGACTAATTTGGACCGCTCAAATCATTGTTCGATTATATGCGTTCGGCTATTTTGTACGTAATCAAATCAATTAATTATTTCTTTTATGATATAAATAAATAAATTTCGAGTGCGTACAAATGAGAATACATTTTCAAATAAATAGGGACAGAGAAGAAATCTAACAATTGGCAATTTTCATAATTTATTGGTATTAAATACGTTAACTTGTAAAGCAATTGCAATAAAATGTATTAGGCCTATAGATTATCCTAAATTTTGGAAAGTAAAAGTTTACGAATTAGCGCTATTGTGTTAATAGGTATTCAAGTAGATCTAATATTATTTCGTTTTGGTTAAAGCTACCAACGCAAATTACGTACTATGGAACTTTCACCGTTAGTTGACTAGAGAGTAGCGAAAATGGCGGAGTTACAGACAAGACTAACTGACGTGAACGGAGCCATGCGAGCCTACACACATACATGAATTGCGCTGCGTAATAGAGTATTGCACTCGAATTCTTGCAGCGGAGCTTCGGTCCTTCGGAGATTCTAATGCTTGGCTAGCGTGTATCATCTCGAGATCGTTGAAAGAACGCGTGAGGCGTCAAAGCTCAAACATTAGTACTTTACTATTAAGTCGAGCATTTAATAGAGCTTTACGAGCTATTGGCTATGAGGCTTTGCTTATTCTTTCTGAAAATTTCTATAATAGAATTAGAAATTGCTTGGGGCCAAAGCATAAAGTTGTAGCGCATTCAATCAACGCGGCTTGGATCGATGCAAAAAGTATAATGATAGTTCATACATTTCTTCTTGAATATTTATACTTTTGTATAGTTGAAGCATAATTATTATGAATTGACGAAGTTATCATTTTAATTTAATGATTTTTAACATTTTAATATTTTGATATTTCAGTTCGATGTTTAAAGAGGTATTTAATTTATGATTTTTGGGCAAAATTAATGATTATGCTTTTGACCGATTCCACGCCAAAAATTATATCAAACAAAATTTCTATTTTTTATTTTTTTTTAACGATTATATTAATTACAATCAGTTAAATCTCTTAAAGTAACCTTTGAAAAATAATCTAATATCTATTTCTCGTATATGCACGTAAAGGAGAAAAGATACCTACTGACAATGAAAATTTAGGTCACATTTTTTACGCGATGTACATTGGCATGAGCGACCTGGAATCCTTATTTTTTTGCACATTGATCGAATATTTTTGGACAATATTTGTTGTAAATACTAATTTTGCATCGAATGACGATAAAAAAAAAGGTGTTGCACCTGTGTATGAAAACAAGGCAAAGTATATAGAAAATGCTTTTGGGCAGGAAACTATATATGTTATTTGGACTTTTATCTATAAAACCATATAAAAATATAAAAAATTTATATATATTTGTTTAAATAAGTCATAAGATTGTCATAAGAGACTCGTCATTTATCCGTATTCGTATCATAAGAGAAAGCATCGTACAATTTTCCTGTCTGTGTGCTAAGAAAATATACATGTCCCACAATAAGACTCATTCAATTGCAATAACATTGGGAACATGGAAGCGCACGATTTGACCCAATAAGCGACTTGGATGAGGGCTCAAAGGGTAGATGAAAAATGTTATATGACGAACATAAAGATTTAGAATTAAAAGTGAGAAGATGTTGAACTAAGGCTCTAGACGGAAAAATATGAGTGCGAGTGCGTAAAGCAAAGGCGCCGAACGTAAAACTGCGTCAGGCACAGAAGAAAGAGACTGTTGACCTCGGGGAGCGTTCTCCGCGACTGAAAGGCAATCTCCAACATGTCTGCAATGAGCCAGGAACATCGGAGGAGAAAAGAAGGTATTATTAATTACCGAGAATGGCTTGGAGGGTTTGTTCGTCGCCATCGCCGATGACGTCCATGCCGCCGTAGCCGCTTCCTTGTATCTCGGCAGATTTTCAGTCGTCCGTTAAGCTACAGCAGCAACTCACCTCCTCCTCCTCCTCCTCCAGCGCGACTTCGCGGCCCGAGAGCCGCTGCTGCATTTCCCGCGGCTTATGAGTATCTGATAAGCTAGGAATGCGCAACAATCGGCACCAGAGGATTCTACTTGGCTCGTTCCTCCAGGGCGCGCAAGGATGACGGCACTTGGCGAACACGACACGTTACTAATCACTCGCGCACACTCCTCCTTCGATCTACTTTGTATATATATCTTGAAAAGTGAACGGTCTACATTGGCTCTCGGAGCGCACTAGAGCCGAAAAATTGAGATAGTCGGAGAAGACAGTAAGCAGATACGGTAGCAATAGTAACAGTGCAAGAGCCGACGCACTGGTGATCACGATCGCGCTCGCTCATACAGACACACACACGCTCTCTCTCTCTCTCTCACTCTCTCTCTCTCTCTCTCGCTCTCTCTCCCTCTCTCCCTCTCTCACTCTCTCTCTCTCTCGCTCTCTCTCCCTCTCTCACCTCTCTCTCTCTCTCTCTCTCGTTCTCGTTTACTAATTCCTTGTCGTGGACGAAGCCGCTACTGGGCGCTCCAGTGTGTCACGTGACTCGCGTGCAAGAGATGTCACGCGCATCCAGCAATCCGGACCCGCACTCACGTTCCATTGCGCCGATCACCGTCCGCACTTCCTTTTACAGTCCTCTGTCTCTTTCTCTCTAGACTATAATGAACGAGATACCAGAGGACGTGTACTACAACTGACCACTGAGCTTATTCCACGAACCGATTGGGTGAAAATACGAGTTCCTCGACTCTCTCGCTCTCTCTTCATTCTTTCTTTCTCTCTCCCTCTCTCTCTCTCTCTCTCTCTCTCTCTCTCTCTTTCTCTCTTTTTCAAGTCTATCTGTATATCGGGGCAAGTCCTCGAACTGTCTCGCTCGTGTTCTTCGTAACGGCCCTCTCTCCCTCTCTCACTCTCTCTCTCTCTCGCTCTCTCTCCCTCTCTCACCTCTCTCTCTCTCTCTCTCTCGTTCTCGTTTACTAATTCCTTGTCGTGGACGAAGCCGCTACTGGGCGCTCCAGTGTGTCACGTGACTCGCGTGCAAGAGATGTCACGCGCATCCAGCAATCCGGACCCGCACTCACGTTCCATTGCGCCGATCACCGTCCGCACTTCCTTTTACAGTCCTCTGTCTCTTTCTCTCTAGACTATAATGAACGAGATACCAGAGGACGTGTACTACAACTGACCACTGAGCTTATTCCACGAACCGATTGGGTGAAAATACGAGTTCCTCGACTCTCTCGCTCTCTCTTCATTCTTTCTTTCTCTCTCTATCTCTCTCTCTCTCTCTCTCTCTCTCTCTCTCTCTCTCTCTCTCTCTCTCTAG